ATAGATTTCACTCATATGCCTCCTATTAAGAAAATCAGGTATCTACTTACTTTAGTGAATACCTTATCTGGATGGGTTGAAGCTTGTCCTACTACTTCTGAAAAAGGCTTCTCAAGTCACCAAAGCCCTGCTTACTGAAATCATTCTTTGTTCTGGGCTACTAGCTTCAGTGCAGTCTGACAATTGTCTGGCCTTCATCTCCTGAATTACCCAGCAGGTCTCTATGGCTTTGGGAATTCAATGGAAATTACACACTCTGTGTAGGCCACAATCTACAGGCAAAGTAGAAAAAATAAACAGCATTATCAGAACACAGCTCACAAAACTCTCTCTTGAGGCTAAATAGCCCTGGACACTGCTCTTATCTATAGTTTTAAACCGCATCCATGCTTCCCCAAGGGCCCCAACCTTAAGTCCCTTTGAACTAATGTACGGCAGGCCATTTCTCTTAGGAAGCTTTCCTACCCAACAGACCTCATTAGGTTATTACCTGCTCACATTAAATCTGGTTCGTTGTGTACTCTGATAACATACAGATGAAATCCTTCCAAAACCCTACGCTGGGCCAATCTCTCTTTTTCCCCTCCCAGAGATTGGGTCCTCCTTAAAGACCTTTGCCCAGTAGACTTTAAACCCAGGTGGAAAGGCCCGTTCCAAATCATGCTAACTACCCCAACAGCAGCAAAACTGTCAGGTCATACCACATAGTTTCACTTTTCAGGGCTAAAAAAGGTACCCGAGTCACCAGAAAACCTTACCCTTCAGATGTGCCATCCTCCAAAATACACCAGCACCCTCCTGGAACCTACCAAAATCCGGCTTATCTGAGTCCCAGAGAAAAAGGAGTCTGCCTGAGCAATAATCACTGCCCATCTAAGGCCACTAATGAGAAAAGATAAGTAATGGCCTTTTGGCTCAAAATAGTGGGTTGTTTAACCTTCATTTTCATAGCAGCATATATTGTTCTTTCTTTCCTCCACCAAGTGGGAATAGTTCAATTCTAGTTAAAGCAGCCTCATGAGCAGTGGACATTGTCAGTGCCAATCTTGTTCTGGAGCTTCTCCTCTTAACTCACCTCTACCCCTTCCTTACCAACTACTTTCAGTTATCTCCACTTTCCCTCTTACTACCTGTCAACGAGTCTTACTATTCTTTTTGATGCATACCTACAAGGGGACTTTGATTACCCATGGAGTCTGATCTGTCATTTAGTAGACCCTCTAGAAGTCAAACACTACTTAGGATTAGACCTCCCATCCGATTCGGAGCTAGAACTCCCACTCTCCGATTCTGATTCCCAGTAATCTTCATAACTCTAACTCCACCCATAGATGCTCTTCCTTTCCCAAAACTTCTACTAGCACACCTCCAATGGCGACTAAGCTTCTCCATAACACTTTTAAAATGCCACCAATCCCACTTTGGCTTCTAATTGCTGGCTTTGCCTCTTTCTTCATCCACCTACACAGTCCTCCTCATCCCTCTGGCAGAATGGACTGTAACCCCAGCTCAATTATGTGTTAAAAGAGAATTGGGGATTGCCCTCCCAGATACCACAGAGACTTTATTAGGAAACCACTCAATAGCCTTAAAAGATCGAGCCACAAAACTTTATAACACTTTTATTTTACATCTTTCCACTCTCTACCTGGAGTTCCACAGACCTCCTTAACTAGGATCCATTTCTAGGACCCAACATGTTCCTTTAATAACTCAAGCTCCTCTCCGCTTTGCTCATCTTTCCGGAAACCTGTCTTTAGGACCCTTATCGCCTAACCAATGTAACATGACGATTAACATCCAACCTTCCCAAGGTCACTTCTCACATGGAATAGATTATACCTTCTCTCCAGAGGCAAATGGACATTTTACACAACAAGTTCAGTTTTCAGAATCCGCCTCCATCTCTATCTCTTCCCACATGGTGGAAGATCTATTCTGCCTGGGCCGCCCTGGGGCTCATAGCTAAGTATTTTCCATGGAAAAGAACTACTGGAGGTTCAAAAACCACTTGCAAATGTCTCCCCCTTCCATCCAACAACACTCATGGATTTTGGCTAGACACTAAATTTTTTCTCTATCAGAAAAATGACCCTTTCCCCCTCAACCCTTCCTTTAATTTATAGCTGCTCACAGGAGCCACCCTAGCTGGCTCTTTGGGAGTGTGGGAAAATGAACCAGGAACTACACAGTGGTCTTCCAATCTGCTACTCCTTTTTACTCTTTATTTTTCTGCTTGTCTCCCTTGTCTTCTGGAGCCTTTTTCTTCTGCCGTACATCAGCCTGTATCTGCTTACCCACCAGTTGGACTGGGACTTGCACTCTGGCCTATCTTTCTCCTAATACAGACGTTGTAACAAATAATCAGAGCATTCCAGTTCCCTTAACAACTATGCTGAGAGCAAAAAGGGTTGTGACCCTCCTACCCTTACGAGCGGCTTTGGAAATAACAACTGGACTAGGAACTGATATTGGGGTACTAACTACTTCACTACACTTTTACCAAACACTGTCTGAGAATGTAAAAGAAAGCCTTGACAACGTGACCAACAGCTTGATTGAAATCCAAGATCAATTAGACTCTCTCGCAGCTGTTTCTTTACAATATTGGTGCGGCCTTGACTCATTACCGAAAAAGGCAACCTCTGCCTCTTCCTAGACCAAGAGTGCTGCTTTTATGTTGATAAGTCCTGGGTAGTCAGAATGGTTGCAAAGAATCTGGCCGAAAGTGCTAGGAAAACAGGACAACAAAATGTCAATATATGGAGACAATGGCTTCAACCTACATCTTGGTTCATGTGGATGCTCCTGTCTTTGAGACCTCTTGCATATCTTTTTCTCATTTTTGTTTCTGGACCCTGCCTCTTGCGTTTCCTCACCAACTTCCTTCAAGACATCACAGATGCCTCCATCCAAGAGATAATGTTGCTGCAACATTACCACCCAGCCAGCTTCAAGTCCTTCCCTTTGATGAGTATCACCCCTCAATAGGAAGCTGCTACAGAAGAGACTTACAATGCCCCTCTTCCTATTGTATAATATAAAAAGCTAGAATGTTAGTTCTGTAATGAAATTATAGTTCTGAAAATGTTAGTTCTGTAATGAAATTTTAGTTCTGCAACGTTAGCCAGATGGAAGCCTGACCTGTGAGAAGCTTCTGAAAAACCTCATTAAGGGCAAACTGTCAACAATGTTGAAAACCCCCAAATTCTCACTTTGAAGCTGACAGTTAGTCAGTAACCACTAGTTGGTAAAATGCCCAGCAGGTGAAACCCCTGCTTATCTTAAGTTACAGAATTCCCCCATTGCCCTAGGCATTTGGTCAAGATCCCCCTAACCCTGTGGGCCATCTACACAGAAACTCCCCGATAATCCTGACCTGGCCATATAGTAATTTAGGCCACTTGCCCAAACAACCCCCTAATCTGGCACTATATAATAAACCCCCTTCAACTCCGGGCTGATGTCATCTTAGGTTCAGCCTGGCAGGAGTACTTTTAATAAACTTTGTTCTTTCTCAAACGACCATCTGGGTTCCTCCATACTGTGAACTTTGCAGTATGTCTCTGAGCTAACTGCAAAATGTTACTGCAAAAACAGGAGCCGGCAGCAAATCCCAGTGTCATCATCAAATACAATGAAAAACTGTAGGAAGGAATTTTTCCTTTGAAGCAGCAATGCAGAATTATTTTCCAGCAACCATGACTAGTGTCTCAACCTTTGCCACCAGCTCTTTTGTACATTAAAACCTCCATTAACCAGAAAGCCAGATCAGAGGTAGAGGGTGATTCGCTTGGTTGATTTTAAATTGAGGGCCAATCCAAAAGTTCTACCATTCCAAATTTTACTGAAAATAACTCTGTAATATGTTGGCAACAGGAAGATCTTTAATGACTAAAAATTGTGATTGATTATCTAAGGGTAAACATTATATTATCAATAGAACATTGACCATTATGCTCAGGTATTACATAATATAATGAATACTCTGTAGATTTTTTTTGGTAATAATTGAACGAGATTCGGTATTTAAAACACTTTGCTGGTAGTCATTATGGAAGACAGTATGTAGTTTCCTCAAAAAATTAAAAATAGAACCACTCTATGATCTGGCAATTCCACTTCAGAGTATTTAGTCAAAAGATACGAAACCAGAATCTTGAGGAAATTTCTGCACTCCCATGTTTATCACAGTACTATGCACAACAGCCAAGACATGGAAACAAGTGTATGTTGAAAGATGAAGCCGGGCTCGGTGGCTCAGCCTATAATTCCGTGCCTTTAGGAGGCTGAGGTGAATGGACTGCCTGAGCTGGCGGGTTTGAGACCCACCTGGGCACCTCATCTCTACAGTAAATCAAAAAATTAGCCGGGCGTGGTAGCACATGCCTGTAATTCCGGCTACTCGGAAGGCTGAGGCGGAA